TTAAATCATATAATATTGCTAAATACAACGGTAATGTTTAGTGTTGTTGTGGCACAGAACGATTAATTTGGATTACTGTCTTCCTAATAATCATTTGTGGATGTTGTCTAGCATTCCACTGACCAACACATCTAAATCATAATATATTTATATAAAATAATTAAATTAACAATTAAACATACAAAATCATACAACATCATCTCAAGATATCTAGTTGTATTTTATTGGAAGCTCCGGGTAATACATAAAAGTGTAAGTTGCATACAGTAACTCACTTGTAACCAATGCTCATAGTTGCACATCTCCATCACAAAGTCTGTACCTTGATAGAATGTTTATCTAGACATAAACATTCTTCTGGAAAGAAAAGATTGGGGAGGAAAACAATCTGTATTTGCCCCCCACTAAGGCTGAAGATTTCTTTCAAATGAAGGCACCAGAGGCTGTACAATAAAACAGACATAATGTAGAGATACTGACAGATAGAATGCTACAGGAATCCAGATAAACAAGTAGTATCACCACTATAAGAATTTCAATCCATTTGATTTGATAGACTTAAAACTAGTGTTAAGTTATAATGCAAAAATGCGGCACAGCAGTGAAAGTGCACTGCCATTCAAAAAAATTTTATTTGAAAGAAATTAATACTTTTATTCAGCAAGCATGCTTTAAATTGATAGTGACAGTAAAGAATGTTTTAATTGTTAATTCAGCATTGGCATCACAGGAATATTACATTTTATAATAGATATAAATAGAAAACAGCTATTTCACAATATTAATAAAAGAAAATAAGCTTACTGACCCCAAACTTTTGAATGGCAATATGTGATAAAGAAACACACAAATATGAGTTTGATTTTACAAACAATTTCTCCATACTCTGTATGAATTATATAATCATATGATTTTAAGCAAATAATACAGGTGCTTCCTTCAGTTTGATCATTTTTTAATTCTCGACTACTTAACTACTTTAGAAATTAAGGTAATTCAAGTCAACACTAATTGGATATTATGACTATGATATGGACTTTATACAGTCATTTATACAGTCAAAGTTTTGGCAGTGACACATTTTGTGTTATGCAAAATATGCTGCTTAAGCTGTTATGGTATTCATTCACATTGTTTCTAGATTATTGTCAAGAGTGAACAGATGCATTTTAAATAATTGTTAAAAGCGTCATTGGCCAAAAAAGGAACTTTTCACAAAAAAACTAATTTCACTGTTTTT